AAACTTGAAGCCATAAGGGCTCGTCCTATGTAGTATCCTATCAAAGTTTTAGTTCAACTCCACTTAAGCAATCCAATTGGATCTTCAACACGAGAGGCCAGGCCGGGCCTGTTGGGGTTAACCATCATAAATGTACACAATGTGATTCATTCCACGTAGATGAGCTGAGCCGTGCCGCCATGAATTCAAACTTGAGTCATGATGCGCTCAGTAGTCCAGAAACAATCAAGTAAGCACCTCCACGAAATCTCGCTATGCACAATTGCAGTTTTCCGTTAGTCACCATGCGCCCGGGCCTCGATAGCCAACCTGTGACCCTTTTCATACCATGTATCTTGCCACCACGTAATTCCTGCTTCTCTGAATCAACTACCCGAACATCTGACAAGCGCCTGATCCGAGAAGGATGTCTTGGACAGGAAGCGAACACCCTCTCTGCCCTACCCGTGTGGCCGAACATGGTACGTCTCACTACGCCAATAGTATCAAATCTGGGGTGAAGATATGACGTTTTTCAGCGGTTTTAGCTAAGAATCTCAAGCTCTCTCTATATCATCCGCAAAGTCTGGATTGAGTCTAATACCAGCGAGGAGGTTTTCTATTTTCCATCAATCTACAACACAATCCTCTACACAAGATTGCACAAAACATTTGGACTAGAATATTTCACAGTTCGCACTTTCTGGAGAGCCTAGGAGGTCTTTCATATTCAATTAATCAGTACGGACAACAGTTCAATGCAACTCAATTCACCGCACGCACTCAATATCGTCACTTTTCTAGCATTTAAAAATGACGTCAGATTTGTCGCGAGGTACGAACGATCGTGGGAGTTGAAAGTAGACTATGAATATAGAGAGAAATTCTCCTAGGTACATTTAATTCTGCGTACTTGTGAATGGTTGTACTATTGGAAGAAAGCTGTCTAGGAAGCATAAGAGGGATTAAACTTCGAAATGGGTATCCTTGGCTTGCAGGTAGAAAAAACCTACGAATCCAATATAGTCATAGACTAAGAAAGGGCAATAATCAAAATTAAGTCTGCATAGGCCATTTGGTTCGTCTCTCCCAACACTTCAAAAGGGCTGCTATGTTTTCAGATTCAGTCCCGAATGCTTGTTAGAAAAAGCCACTGCGCCCGTGGCTTTTCCTAGCTTCCATGGCTCCTATTCACCAAAATGTCTCTTTTTCGTTGGTTGGAGAGGAGATGTAAAGATGAGATAATGACTCCATTAAGTGAACCCTAGTGTACATTCATGAGAGTGTTACTGCTGGACATAAGTTGTTACAGGTTAAGAGCCCTTGTTATATATCACTATTAGTCCATTTATGTCATTTTTGAGCATATATTTATATAGGGTAAACTCTTGGGCTGTAGGTAGACCAGACTTACATGTCCGGTCTAACCTAAAGCTGAGAAAGCACTAGAAATGCATTCTTGAGTCGACGAAAGTTAAGTGCCCGACCGGGTTAGAAGTGAAAGTGTGAACGGTAATCTGTCAAAGGAATTCATGAAAGTAGCAGGGCTCTTACATGTAATTCTCAGTCTAAACTTAGCCTTCGTCAGTCGATTCAGATGAATATTTAACGTCTCCTTCGTTATAGCCTCTAAATCTCTAGTGAAAATATCACAGACACAATAGCCTTCAGCAACAGGAATTGACGTCCAACGATTAGTGTTAATGGACTGCAGCTGCATCTTTAAATTGTGCGTTTACATGATGCTTTGTGCGACCAGTCGTGCGGAGGCGAACCTCAATTGGTCGAGTCAGGGAACGTGGATAGACTAATGATAAAAATGCACCCGTCAATTAAAGACTAGTTATCTAAAATAGATTGAGTAATTTTGCCCGTAAACTGGATCCGCATGAACTACGAGTTATACCAGCGAGGAGCCTCTGGGGTAAATCTAGCCGCTCTTTCTAGCAACTCGTGCCGAAACCGAGTGACACACGACTCGAAGCGGATCTTCTTGAGGATACCCGGCGTCTAGAGGCAATGAACGTTAAACTAAAGCAACACACGAAACTGAGCAGTATGGTATTTTCTTTTATTTTCAAACGTCTGAAGAAGCTGCAAATTGTGATGCTCTTCGTTGGGGACACCTACAGGTCCTAGCACATTTGGATACAAGAAGACTAGCCCTGGTGGGTCAAACAGCTTATCTAGCACTACAACTCGCGCCTAACCATGCGATAATATTTAAAACGAGTCATGATCTAGCGCATCCGCTGCATGCTCGGCATCACGGGATTCAAGTCGATTCCTTAAGGGTCTGGTATCAATTAATGTTTCCTTCGCGAGGTGGCTTTAGCTGAATGACATGATACTTGGCTACCACGTGATACTTACCACAAGCTCCCTGCCATTTAGTAGAAACTGAAACTAGGCTAATCCCTATGCTCCCAAGGCCGCCCTAATTTTAGATTGTGACATACCACTTTTAGTGCAAGGTATTCATTTCCGAACACCTGCGAGTATTGGGTAAGCAAATTCGAACTTGATACCGAGGGCGAAATGTTTGGAAATTTCGGTTTGAGGCTAGCATCGAATGAAGAAAATATCATGGATGGGAGATTTGAAATATTATTAGAGCTCCTGACTCCCTACCCCTGGCGCGTGTCAAGCTCCCGCCCACAGGACGCCTTCAGATACATGTGTCGTCCAGGTTTGAGTGTCTAATGGGACAATAACAGAAGCTCCCTCTGCCCGGCAGATTCCCCTGGTTGCCTTGGCGACAATGGACGAGAATAGATGACGTGTTCAGAAACAGTAGAGCCGTCATCTTTGGCTAAACTGATGCCAGCAAACACCGATCCCTAACCCCTTCCAAATCCCCATTTCCCACGCCAAAAACGATCTTGGCTCCCTCGCCAGCCCTTCACTATGCACCGCCGTCGCTCTAGCATTTTGCTTAAGAGGCCCCGGGTTTCATTATTCCGCGATTCGTACAGTTGAATCCCCCGAAACGTCTCTCTGTATCAAATTCATCACTGCAGCTCACCTTCTTGGTACGCCGTAATTTGTCGTGGTCCGAGTTCTGGAATGCACGGAATGATATACTTTCTTCCATCTGCTCTTCCTCTTATTTCCTGACTTTCTGATAACAAATAATCACATAAATCATCATAACAACATTTAATATTCAGAGCCGGTTTCTGAAAAAATATCGACCAGCCTCACTACGAACGTTTCAAGAAGTCCCGAATTTTTCTTTCCTGAAGCCCAAAAATAATGGCAGCCTTTGTAAAGCGTCAATTCGTAGGCGATGATTTCGTCATCGTGGAAAGGGAGCCATCTTTTTGGTGGACAAAGGTAACATTTGAATCCCAAAACCTCATCACATTTAACTACTACTCTAACGCTGATTTTGTCTTAGACGGGCCAAATTGTGCGGTGGTCCATTTTCTTTGGTCTTAGCACAATATTCACAGCGTACATACTTATTGGCTACATTCACGCTAAGAGCAGAATGAAAAAAGGCCTACCTTTACTTTCTTACCATCGAGTATGACTTATCCCCGGGCGAACCTCTTTGTAAAACTAACATTCAAAAAGTGGCTCGTAAGTGACGAGACTCGAATGAGATACGATCCAAACTACACAAACCCCAACATATTCTACGGTTACCATCAGAACGGAATCGGCATGCAACCAATGCCACAACAAATGTACGGTATGAATGCGCCACTTCCACCCACTTATCAGCCCCAGTCTGGAGTTACGAAGGTCGATTCTTCACCATACAACTCCCAACCCACTCACAGATCGGAGACAAGTGATCCAACCCCAAATTATGAAGCCCCACCAGGACCCCCACCCCCTCCAACTCTTCCTCCCAATCAAACCGGAGCTACAGCGACCGGTAACCCATACAGGCTATAGGTTACTAGTGTACTAGCTATTGCCAAAGACACTCATTGCAAAAAAATTTCTTAATCAAAAAAGCGACGGATATTGGATAGTTTGTGAATTTATAATAATGATACATCCGAAATAATTAAAATTTATCTTCTGTTTACTAAAACTATCGATTAATCATCTGATCCGAACGCCCCAACTTTAGGTCACAAATTGCGAACCTTCTTCTTCATCAAGTGTCCAACTCCATAGCGTCAGGATCATATCCTGATATAGATTCATCCGAATTAGTTTTGTGACCCTGTAGATTTTTGTGCCCCAAAATTTGATTAAGTCTAGAGAAACTATGCGGTGTCGCCTCACTTGGTAGTTCTCCCATTTTTCTCTGTTGATCTTGTTTTGCTCGAACCCTTGCTCTTGATTCCATGATAACTCTTCTGACACTATCATGCTCCTTCGCTACGGTCAAAGAACTGGGATCAGAATATAGCACTAATTGATTGTTCTCATCGCTCGAGGGATCAGAGAGTATTGTTTTTGGTATGCTGTTTTCGAGCAGCCGTTTTTTGATGGCCGGGCATAGTACTAAGCTAACCTCCTCTGACTCACATTCGTATAACTCTGCATCAAGGTCATGAATGTAAACCTTATGCTTGGTATCATCAATATGCATCACTTCATTACTTGATATTTGAGCCGGTAGTGCGGCTGGTTCTATTGAATTTAGGGAAACTAAGGGTTGATTAGAGGGGTTAGATTGCTCAACTGGTGGGTAGAGCTTGTGTCCATTGGGACCTAAGATATTAGAAAATGAGATAAAATGATTATTGAACAAGCAGTGCTCACCAATTTTGAGCAGGCTCAATCTTTTCGACAATCGTTCGTTGTTTTCTTGACTTTCTGCCTTTCGTTTCCTGTCACATGCGGTCGGCTTGACAGCTCTAAATGGGGAATCCATCATTGCTTGATTGAAAGCAGCTATCGGATATCTTGCTAGTTGTTTTGCCTCTCCCTTGTTGTAAAAATTTTACCTAATTCTAACGACTTGTGCCTGAGTTTCTGTCGTAAGGCTTAAATCGTTAAACTTTAACGCGAGTTAGAGCCTGGAACGTGACAACATTCGGTGTACAACCAGGTGAATGATTGGCGGCGAGCGGTTATACCATAGAAATTTGCATCAGAGAATATTCCGCCCAGCTGCGTTTACTGTCCTGCCTGGACCACCTGCGACTGTAACGAAAAAGCCTGGTATTAGCTTCTTAAGAGATTTCAATATGTCGAGAAATCAATCGCATTGGCCTGCTAGCAGAGTGCGTGAGACTTTTCTACGATATTTTGAAGGGAAGGGACACATAAGAGGTATGTGTGCAAGAGGGGTAGATTTTTCTAGAAAGCTCCAGTCAATCCTACACCATTCCAAGTAAAGAATACGACACTTTGTTCAACAAAGATATGTCAAAGATTAAGCACATAGGGTAGTATCGCTGACGATAGGGATATTCCAGTACCTTCGTCTTCTGTGGTTCCTCACAATGACCCGACTCTTCTCTTTACCAACGCTGGTATGAACCAATTCAAGCCAATTTTTCTGGGTACAGTAGGGAATACGGATAATATGTCCCGATTGAAGAGGGCTGTGGATACGCAAAAGGTACACTGTCGAAAGTATTTTGTTCGGGAAATTATTGGCTAACAGGCCAAAGTGTATTCGTGCTGGAGGCAAACATAATGTGAGAACATCCTAACCTAACTTATATCGCTATTGCTAATCAAAAATAGGATCTGGATGATGTAGGGAAGGATACTTATCATCATGCAAGTACTATTTTTCGCTGAGAGAGCACCGTTTCTAATAGCTTTCTAAGACTTTTTTTGAAATGCTAGGTAACTGGTCTTTCGGCGACTATTTTAAGCCTGAAGCTGTGCAGATGTCATGGGAGTTATTAACGAAGGTTTATGGGCTTGACCCGGAACGAATTTATGTCACTTATTTCGAAGGTGATACGTCTATGGGACTTGAACCAGACATGGAAATAAAGTCCTTATGGAAAGATGTCGGGGTCCATGAAGATCACATAATACCTGGAAATGTAAAAGACAATTTTTGGGAGATGGGGGAACAAGGTCCCTGTGGTCCATGCAGCGAGATCCATTACGACAAAATTGGAGGAAGAAATGCTGCTCATCTAGTAAATATGGACGATCCTAACGTGTTAGAAATATGGAACAATGTTTTTATTCAATTCGATAGGCAAAAAAATGGGACCCTTAAACCGCTACCAGCAAAGCATGTGGATACTGGCATGGGATTTGAAAGATTAGTATCTATACTACAAAATAAATCCTCAAACTACGACACGGATGTCTTTCGTATCATATTTTCGAGGATTCAAACAGTCACGAACGCAAGGCCATACTCAGATAAGTATGGAAATGACGATGTCGACGGTATTGATACAGCTTATCGTGTTATTGCTGACCATCTCCGTCTACTTACATTTGCCATATCTGACGGCTGCGTTCCAAATAATGAAGGACGTGGATACGTAGTTCGAAGAGTACTCCGGCGTGGCTCACGATACGCCAGGAAGTACTTTAATGTTGAGATCGGATGCTTCTTTTCCAAGATACTACCAACACTTGTCTATCAGATGGGTGGTGAGTATCCAGAACTCGTCAGGAGAGAGCAGAACGTGAAGGAGATTCTAGACGAAGAAGAAGAAGCCTTTGCAAGGACACTTGATCGTGGGGAAAGAATGTTTGAAAAGTATGCAGCTCATGCCATTCAAACAGACTCCAAGAAACTTTCTGGCGCTGATGTCTGGCGTCTTTATGACACCTTTGGATTTCCAGAGGACTTGACCAAAATTATGGCCGAGGAAAGGGGACTCGAGACTGACGAAAATGAGATACGAGCTGCCCAAAAGTTAGCACGTGAAGCTAGCAAATCGGTGAAAGAGATTGTGCTCACTTTTCCTAAGCTTGACGTCCACCAAATTTCTCAAATTGATAAAATGGGTCTAAAGCAGCCAGATGATAGTGCTAAATACCGAAAAGGTGATATTAATGGCAACGTTGAGCTAATATATAACGGAAAAGCCTTTTTAAGGTCAACCGAGACTATCCCGATCGGAACACCATTCGGTATAATATTGGATAGAACTAACTTTTATGCCGAGCAAGGGGGCCAAATATCTGATACCGGGAAAATTCTCATTGACGGGGTTGTAGAATTTAAAGTATTGGATGTACAGATATACGGACGCTACATTGTCCACAATGGATACCTTGAGTACGGGACTCTGAAGTCTGGCGATGAGGTTATTTGCGAATATGATGAGTTTCGGCGGCAATCGATTCGTAGTAACCATACAGCTACTCACATTCTTAACCACTCACTGAGAGAACATTTAGGTGACGATATCATCCAAAAAGGATCATTGGTTGATAACGATAAGCTTCGATTTGACTTTTCGCACAAAGCAGCAATCACTAATGCTGAACTTTTGAAAGTGGAAAACTCTTCAAACAAGTACATCAGACAGAATTGTAAGATCTACACCAAAGAAGTCGATCTAGAGATCGCTAGAAATATCGAAGGAGTGCGGGCTGTTTTCGGAGAGACATACCCAAACCCTGTCCGCGTAGTGTCTGTTGGCGTTGACATAGACACACTTCTTGAAGATGTGAGGAACCCAGAATGGAAAAATATCAGTGTAGAATTCTGCGGAGGAACGCACGTTGAACAGACTGGCTTAATCAAGGATCTTGTAATTGTAGAAGAGAGTGGGATTGCAAAGGGAATTCGAAGAATCATTGCCTACACTGGTGATGCCGCCCATGAGGTACAGCGTTTAGCGATAGAATTCTCAAAGCGCATTGAAATCTTGGAAAAAATGCCCCATAGCTCTCAAAAAGAAGAAATTGTAAAACTCACCCAACAAGATCTCAATAAACTCACAATCTCTGCACTGACAAAAGAAACGCTTAAAAGTCGATTTTCAAAAGTTCAAAAGGACATTCTTGACGAGCAAAAGAAGAAGCAAAAAGCGGAATCGAAGATCGCACTAGACACGGTGAATGAATACTTTTCTCTACCTGAGAATAATACTAGCAAAGCTTACATCGGAAAACTCCCGATTTCTGCCAATCTCAAAGCTATTACAGATGTTATGAATCATTTTAAATCCAAGGAAAAAGATAAGACTGTCTACTTATTTGGTGCTAATCTTGAAGAAAGCATAGTTGTTCACGGTGTTTACGTTGGAACTGTAAGTCCTCTAATAGCGGTGACAGATAAAGCTTATATATACAGGAACATTCATCCAAAGGTATTACTGCTGAATCATGGTCTGCTGTTGTATCTAATATAGTTGGTGGTCGCAATGGTGGCAAAGAGCCAACACGTACTGGTCAGGGTACGAATCCAGATAAGATTGAAACAGCCATCACTTTTGCAAAAAAGTGGCTTTTAGAACAGTTGGAGAAATGAGAGTTATTACATGAGGATACAGGGGTTTTCAGAATTTAGAGTCGGCTTGATGCCACATTTTAAGAGTGAATAATGTTTCTAAGGATATATGTATACAATGATGAATAAGGTGAACACATCTAACAGTGAAATGTACTCCTATTATGGTTTCTGAGTCTGTCAACTCCTAAAACTTCATAGATCTTGGTAATTTTACCTCGTAAACTGACTATTATTCATATCTACATTGACCTAGTTAACCGAATGATCAAGATCTAAACTCAGAGTCTACAATAAAGTTCTTATATTTGAGAACAGATAACTGTATTAAGTTACAACTTATACTCTAAGGCTCCTCATTCCTTAAAAATTTATATCGAAACTTAGTTCCAAGAGCTCAATGTTTCACTTTTTCACTGTTTCACATCACACAAAGGGACATGAGAAGTTTTAGCAAATTTGATATTACTAGGATTTACTCCATTTTCGAGCTTCCAATCATAATAAAATTATATAGTATAATCTCTCCAGAAAAGTCCAGAAAATTACATTCAATCTTAATTAAGTTGGATCCCTAAGGATGGTTTTCTTAATTGTACCTAAGATTTGAGCGAATTTTCTGCCACGTTTTATTCATAACTCAATGGAGAACTAATCATGAGTAGATTTTGGCACGAAGGCAGCTCTATTGAAGAGATGTAAGAAGTATATTGATTATGATGAGGGAATTTCTAGTGTCAGGGGAGCTGGATGGTGCAGCGGTACACCATTCGGCCTGTTCTCCCAAGTAGATACTGGATAGCTTGAACACCTACCCCATTCGAGACAGGAGAAAGCTGGTTCGAATCCAGTAAATCCCACGGATCATTCTCTCTCGCGGTGATATTATGCTTGAGGGTTGATGTAAGCACACTCGGGTAGCTTCAGGTTTTTCACGCTTTTCCCTGTGGTGGGTATGCACGGAAGAGGTTATACGCCGTAAGGGCTAACCTCGAGTGGTATCTGCAAATATGATCTGAGCGTGAGTGTTCTAAACGTCAAACTATGTCATTCTATTCAAAGTACATATTGTTGGAAATATCGCGCAATGAAATGGGCGCATTATTTATGGAACGAAAGTAGAAGTTGACTAAAACAGTGTCATGATCGGATTACAGCTAAAAGTGTGGAAATTGTACGCTGTAAGTACAAGTGTAGGAGGGCAAGACTGAACACCTGTACGCAGTGTCCTCTACCAACCTGGGAGTGAAATATTCTCCAAGAGCCAAGTTCAGTCAAATTTCGCAATATCAAAGAAGTTGGCCCACGAGGCAAAAATCCAAATTACTCATCCACGTCGTTATTTCGCTCCCAACGAGTTTGACTCCTATCTTCGTCTCATCGAGTCTACAAGTACGACCAAGTACATCCTCATCCCAATGACCACACCTCTCTTCGACCTTCTCTGGTCTCAGTTGACCACCAAATACACGCCCACGCCGATATTTACACCTGACTGAGGAAACAAAGTGTAGAGCACAAATCTAGGAGTCAGCTCTTTGGGATGGAAGTGAGAGGGATCAGGACAAGTTCACAAGATGATGCAAAGGAAGGATATATCTTCGAAGGGCATGAAATTCCGAATTTTGGCAAGGAGTTTTTAAAAATTGAGCTTTGTGCGCGCCAAGACTTCGCTTGTGAGAGTGCAGCTGACACTATAAAAACAAGCCAACGATGGAAGGTGTCGTGGTCCGCCTCCTGGTGGTGTTCTCTGGTATGGTTTGAGTAGCCTGGGCACCTACTCCACTTGAGAAAGAGACACCTCAGATCACATATTGCGAGGAGAAAAGTTGAAAGATGATGGAGGTAAATCTGGATAACTCAGGGTTCTTGAGACGTTCCCCTGAGTGGGTATTCACGGATGAAGGTTGACTTGGGGTGAAGAAAAAGCCACTATAACTTCGCGGTGGTACTTGCAAATGAAATCCAAGGCATGAGTACTCTTCCTTTACGTTGAATCATCTGTTCTGTGCTTTTCTTTGATATTGTGTCATAGCTAGATAGCTGCATATGCAATTAAAATCTGATGGAAAAAAAAATGAAGGGTGAGCGATACAGAGCTTAAGTCACAGCATAAACAAGTGTGGCGCCATCTAGGTATAGAAAAATCCTCAATAAACTCATTTTGCCCACGCCATACAGCCGCTCATGAATCCATCAGGTAGCCTGAAGCGCTACCATGTTTCTCAATACAACCTCTAAAATACACACAATATCGTGTCGGGAACCTAGACGAAATGGAGGGCCCCTTGGTCCACAACACTCTATGTCTCCATTGTAACAGCTAGTGAGCCGATAATTGTCCTGTATCACGTGATGTTAATCATGTGCCTCATCAATTCTGTGAAAGGCGAAACTTCACTCTAGTTTATTCTGAACATGACTAGAAGATTCTAGCAACTGGCAGTGAGACTGTGAACTGGTGTCAGGGGAACATAACAGAAGCTAGTATCAGACAGGAAGGAATATTCTAGATAGCCTAATAAGTGTATAAATAGTTGAGTTTGGACACACATATTGTGGTATAGAAAATAATAAACAGCCTTTGCATATTTGATCGCCCCAGCATCTATAACTCGAACTGTGACATATTATTTTCGATCTTCAGACATTCAGAACCGCAGTTATTTTCAGATAATCAGATCCGCAGTCAGTTTCAGATATTCAGAACCGCAGAAATTTGTTCACAACGGCATCTGGGGGAAGTTTGCAAGTGGTGCCAATAGAAGAATTCAGAGAGCTGCAACAACAGTTTAAAAAACTACTGGACACGCAGTCTTGTAAAATTACGCCAAAAAGATTGATCATCGAAAAGGATCCCCCACTTAGAGAGAACACTTGCTTGAAGCCGACAAAACTTCAGGAATTTGTTGGGAACAGAGCAGAATATCCAGCATGGCGTGCTGCTGTCCTGGACACTTTTCGTATGGATTAGTATTTATTTGGATACGACAACTCTCGTGCTTTTTTAATGATATACGACGCACTGAAAGGCACGGCAAGGACAAAAGCCAGTCCCTTCTACGAATCGGGGGGAGTCCACAACACCAGGGACCTAGAAGACTTCATCGAGTTTCTGGATAGACTGTTTCTAGATTCAACGAGAGTTTCAAGAGCGAAAATAGAGCTCCAGTTGATGAAAATGGAAGACAACGAACGGTGGTCGGATTTTTACGCATCTTGGTCTAACAAATTGACTGAGGCTCGGGGTGACTTTTGGCCTGACGATAACAAAATATCACTGCTTCAAAATACGTTGAACAAAAAGTTGACCATGGCATTAGCCTCGAATCATATGTTGCCCGAAGAAGATTTTAATGAATGGGTGAACATAGTCAATAAAGTCGCGCAACAATTCGAAATAGCAGAGTCCCGTTTCAAGGGTAGACGAGAGTATTTATGCTCCAACGGAGACTTCAGGCATGGAAGCAGTGGAAAAGATTACACCAATGGAAGTGATTTAAATAACGGACCAACACAAAGAAAAACTCCTGATAACTTCGGCAGCCAACACGGTGGTCATGGGATGAATAATGACGTGGAAAATTCAGGTGATACTATCATGGGTGGCGTTAATGCGACGGGCGTAAAAAGAGAAGAAAGCAGACGAGCAAAATGGAAAAAAAAATCTCAATTGGAAACACTGAAGCGGGAAGGTTGTTGCTTTAGGTGTGAGCGTAAAGGGTGTGTAATCAAAAGGTGCTCTTTACTGCCGGCCATAAAGCCCAAGGGTAATTCAGTATGGGTTACCTCTACATCCTTGCCAGAAATAGATCCATCTATGTATTATATTGAAGGAAAAGAATCGGATTCGGAAAACTTATAGCTCCTGAACCCAGTCGCGCTCAGGAGCCAGAAATAGTGTTGGAAATTCTGACTCTCGAATTTAGGACTCAACCACTACCTGTTTTGTCTCAGGTTCCCGACAAGATCGACTCTCTCTACACATGTCACGAGTGCGCTAATCGCGCCTACTGTTGCATTTACAATTGGATATTTACGTACTACAGTGTACCTTGGATCATCATGGTAGATGAGAGGTGGCTGGTCATCACTAGGTTTGACAGGCACATGAGACTAGTGGGAATTTCTCCCCTAATATGTATATATAAGTCCAATGTTCACATAGTTGTAAAATATCAAGTCTTCTTTACTTCATCATATTTATCCATATAATATTGTACAGAGTATATTTTCCAACAAATAGTCAGCAGTTTTGAAGTGTAACGGCTGGTAAGCCGATTGGTCCCTGTAGCCTATGTTGGTTAACTTAGGCCTGATTCGAGTGGCGTTATTGATGGCTACCAATGCGCTAATATGCGACGCCACCCAATACAATACTTTTGCGTCGGCATTTGCATGGTATTCACATGGCATCGGACTCGGCAGTGCGGCACGGCAGTACGGCACGGCAGTACGGCACTGCACCACATGTTGATAGGCTTACACTGACTGGGAATATACGAGACCGAGTACAGTCCTTCCGGACCATAACGCGATAGTGCTGTATTACAGGCATAGTCAGAGCACTAGGGGAGTCCCATAGCATAGGAACAGGAGAGGGATTAGCCTTGGTGGCGAGGAGGCTTTCACGTATATAAATGAATAGATAGATGTAGTGGAAGTTCTCTCCTTAGAATTATTATTTACTACCATCGACCACATAGTTGCCCCAGCACTTGTCCCTCGAAACCGTGACATGAAGCAAGTTTAAATACAAAGCCTTTTCTTTTAAATGCATTATTGAATGATACAAGAATGGTCCAAGCGCTAGTAGACAACGGTTGCTTGTGTTTTGGAATCATTGATGATATATTAGCTGAAAAACTACGACTACCGCGCATTCCAATAACCCCTAAAATACTAGAAACTGCAGATAATTCGTCCACAAACAAACCGACTGTCAACAGTATTACCTATTTATCACTAGATCTTGATAGATACGTTACGCCAAAACTATGGCTCTACGTTGTACCCAATAG